ACACACACACACACACACACACACACACACACACACACACACACACACACACACACACACAGGGGATGGGATGCAGGCTGGTACTGAAGAATACTGAAGAATGCAAAGGTTGGACTGCAAAATGTTCTTCTTACTTCACTAAATGTGTTCTAACCCTGTTTTTTTCTTCCATACAGGTCATTCAAACAAGGAACAGTCTGTGAAAAAAACAACATTTGGGGCTAGATTTGCTAACATCTGCAGTAGCCTTCACGCAAACTTCAATTAATGTCAATTAAAACGTCTCTGACACACAACTTACAACAAATTACACAGATCCTAATGCCAAATTACTGGATCACAGACAGCAGCAGCTATTTTAACATTTTTGGATGATTTTGTTTAGAAGTCTCAAACATGTAAATCTCATTCAAACAGATATATTTCTCTCTGGTTTAGAGCTGGGTTGGATTATTTTGAATTGAATACAGTGCGTGATTTAAAAAGAGTCTCACCTGAACAGATGACACCAGCATCCTCACCAAGTCCACAGGAGTGTGTCCCAAATCCTCTGTGCTGACACTCAGTTAGAGAACTTTCACTTCCTGAACAGGACACTTCATCAAGCCAGATTTGTCCTGTTCCTTCACCAAAGTGAGCTGACTGAGTGGCATTCAGTGCTGGTCCACAGCCTAAATGTCTGCAGACCACCTCAGCATCTTCTGTGCTCCATCCATGGTCACAGACTGTTCCCCATATTTTATTGTGATAGATTTCAACTCTTCCAGAGCACTGAGTAGACTGATGTCCAGCTAATCTGATTCCTTATCAGAAAACACAGAAAATATATATTTAGTTACAAATATAATGTTTTAATGATAGCAACATCTGTGTCAAATATATTTTTTAAATACAAGTCAGTAATTTGAAGTTAAACAAGCGGGTAAAAAAGATAATAACCAGACAATAGCCAGGAAGCAGATTGGTGGCATGCAGAGAAGCTAATCGAGGAGGAGATAAACAAACATGGAGACAAGACCTACTTCACACCAGAAGGAATAATGACAAAACAGAGATAAGATTAGGACAGAATGGACACAAAAGGGAACTAATATCATCTGAGGAACTAGAAATATGGATAACAAAATGGCAAAATCTAAAGGAGAAAACAAAAATAACAATCCAAAAACACAACATGGAAGACAAGTTACACTTCAAGAACATGTGAGCTCAAACAGACAATCAGATCGAGGGAAAAAACAGGAAGTAAAACCTAAACGTAACCTTCAATGTAAAACAGGAAGTAAAAAAACATGATGCCTTTGTGTAGATATTTCACTCATTTGAAGCACAATCGAACACACAGTTGATGATGCAAAAAAATAGCACAGCTTACATATTTCTCTGTATTACAGGTGCATGAATCAAAAAGAGTCTCACCTGAACAGATGACACCAGCATCCTCACCATGTCCACAGGAGTGTGTCCCAAATCCTCTGTGCTGACAATCAGCTAGAGAACTTTCACTTCCTGAACAGGACACTTCATTCAGCCAGATGTCTCCTGTTCCTTCACCAAAGTGAGCTGACTGAGTGGCTTTCAGTGCCGATCCACAGTCTAACTGCCTGCAGACCACCTCAGCATCATTTAGGTCCCAGCCACGACCACAGACTGTTCCCCATGTTTTTTGACGGTAGATTTCAACTCGTCCAGAGCACTGAGTGGACCCAGAACCAGCTAATCTGATGGGCACACCTAAATGCAGAAAACACAAAGAATCTATATTATAATCTATAGAGAATAAAGTATGTTTTGAATGTTTTCAGTTGTTGATTATGGTAACTATTTCAATATGTTCATGAAGTTTTGATGACATGAATTTTTTTTCACACAGTAAAGACACAAATGACAAAATCCCCACAGTGGTGTTTGGGCAAAGCCACCGACAGTTTTAAATTAATGAATAATGGACAGATTCCTGTTTGGATTACAGGTGCATTGATAGTAGAACATGTTATTACTCAGTACTGCACAGTTCATACGGTTACTGTATGAACTCGGGTCCTCTGCTTACCGTGAAGTTCAGGATAAAGCATAATGACAAAAAACACTTCTAGGTGGTAAAATAATAGGACAGGAAGTTCATTCTTTTGGAATATATCTTACCTGAACAGATGGCACCAGCGTCCTTTTGGTGTGTACAGTCATGAGTCCCAAATCCTCTGTGCTGACACTGAGTTAGAGAACTTTCACTTCCTGAACAGGTCACATCATCCAGCCAGATTTGTCCTGTTCCTTCACCAAAATGAGCTGATTGAGTGGCCTCCAATGCTGATCCACACTCTAACTCTCTGCAGACCACCTCGGCATCATTTAGGTCCCAGCCATCATCACAGACTGTTCCCCATCTGTTGTTGTGATAGATTTCAACTCGTCCAGAGCAGCGAGTTGACTGAGGCCCAGTTAATCTGATTTCTAAACACAAAACAAATAACTAATTATAAATGAAAAGTTTTATTATATTTAATAAAGGCAGCTATTTCAACATCTGTGGCAGATACATCCACCAATGTCCACTAATCCGGTCCCGTACCAGCAGACTGAGAGACAGCTTCTTCCACCAGGCCATCAGACTGCTGAACACGTCATAGACACCTCAGCTTCACTACTGGAACTTTAACATTATGCACTCCATACTGTACAGTAATGCCACTGTTTTGCACATGTCTCAACCTGTATATTTTTATATATTTTATTTATTGTTTACTCTATTTAATTTGTAAAATATGTGTACACACACACACACACACACACGTAGAAAAATATTTAGTATACACATCCAGAAATGCATATACTATTATATATTGTACATATATTTATTAGTTTCAGATGTAGCCATTCTTGTATTTTGCTTGTTTACATTATTGTATTTTGCACAACTCTGTTGCTTGTGAAGCTCGCACACAAGAATTTCACTCACATGTGCTGTACCAATGTACCTGCACATGTGATGTGACAATAAAAGTGATTTGATTTGATTTGATTTGAAGTTTAAAAAATGACAATAACTACACACAGTCCAGTGAGTATCTAAATGAAGAACATGAGAACACGTTAGACTGGGAGAACATTGGAGCTCAGAGACAAAATCAAATCAAGGGGAAGACATATGAAGGTAAATATGTTTTAAAATTTGAGAGCCCGTAGAATCAAAAAGTGAGAATATGTAGAAAAACTTTAACTTGTATTTTAAAATTTTGTAAATTGTAAAAAAAATTTACACACTAGTGTTTTCAATTCACACTTACAGAAAAATATTCACAAACCTGCAGAATGATATTTATTTAAATATACTTTGAGCTGCAAACTTGTAATTCAAATTTTACTCATCCAGAGATCCATCTTCCACTTATCCAGGGCCAGGTCAGGGGGCAGCAGCCTAAGCAGAGAACATCAAGGCGTTCCCAGGCCAGTCAAGAGATATAATCTCTCCAGCATGTTGTGGGTTTGGCCCAGGATCTCCTCACCTAGTGGGACATGCCTGGAACCACTCACCCAGGAAGCATCCTTGTCAGATGCCCAAACCACCTCCTTTCGATGTGGAGGAGCAGTGGCTCTACTATGAGCCCCTCCAGGACGGCTTAACTTCTCACACTAAGAGAAAGGAGAGGCACTGTTCTTTTTCAAACATTTGTTTCAGTGTCTTACTATGGGGACGTGCAGACCCCTGTATTGACAGATAAGCTCATCTGAACGACTGACTGTCATCTTAGGACTCACACTTAAGACAGTGTGGAATAGAGATCGTGTAATGAAATCAGCCTGTTGCAAAGGTCAAAGGAGAAATCCAGCTTGGTGCTGCACATATTTCCTCTATAGCGACACCACGAAAGAGGGCCCATAAGGTTGCCATTCCTCTTGTAGAATGAGCACGGCGCTTCATTGGGGTACAGACTAGTGCTGGAATACTCCAACTTAATTACTGCTGCAGTCCAGTGGGAATGTGTTCTTTACTAATAGGCTTGCCAAAATGTGGCTTAGCCCAAGAAACAAACAGCTGGTCAGACCTCCTGAAAGCCCCAGTTCTCTCCATAACCGGACAGTGAACGTGTAAGCACTCCTGTTCATGGGAGGAGAAAGCAGTGGGGGCCAAACACCACTAACTCCAATGGCATGCATTGGAGAGAAAGGTACTTGAGGACAAAGGCTGGATTTAGCCTGAATGTGACCCATTAATTATCCAGCGTGAATTGGATGCACTGTTTCTGCATTGGCAGTGTATGAATATTGCTGATGCCAGCAGCTTCAAGACAAAATTTGTTTCTCCACTTGACTTAGTAGCTCAGATGGTGGCTGTGAAACTGCCCACAGCACTAGGGATGAATCCCACTGGGAACAAGAGGTTTAGCGGACTGCCTTGTAGAGATTCTGGCAAACTATCAGGCAACTCAGGAGGAGAAAGTGGTGCTCTACCTGCACTGTGTATAGTGTGGGTGGAGTGCTGCCGACTTCGACTGAGAACATTGTCAGGCGGTGGTAGGAATGCTTCGAGTCCCTCTTTAATCCCACTGGCACATCTTCCGTGGAGGAAGCAGTGTCTGGGGACGAGGGGAATGACTCGTCTATCTCAGGGGCGAGGTCACTGAGGCATTTAAACAAATAGTTGGTGGCAGAGCCCCTGAGGTGGATAAGGTTCACCTTGAGTTCCTGAAGGCTCTGGATATTGTAGGGCTGTCTTGGCTGACACGTCTCTGCAATGTTACATGGAGATCAGGGGTGGTACCTTTGGATTGGCAGACCGAGGCGGTGCTTCCCATCTTTAAGAAGGGGGACCAGAGGGTATTCCAACTATAGGGGGATCACACCTCTCAGCCTCCCTGGGAAGGTCAATGCCAGGGTGGTGGAAAGGAGAGCCCGTCCATTAGTCAAACCTTGGATATAGGAGGAACAATGCGGTTTTCGTCCTGTTCATGGAACACTGGAGCAGCTCTTTATCCTTTTACTTAAACCAAAAACACAAAACTCTGGGTCGCAGACCCAGTACTGTGACACCATGGTCCTCGGCTGGAAAAGGGTGAGGACCAAAGGGGTGAAGTACCCATTGGAGTTCCTGCCCCAAGTGGAGAAGTTTAAGTATGTCGGGGTCTCGTTCACGAGTGACTGGAGAAGGGAGCGGGAGATTGACAGATGGATTGGTGCTGCAGACACTGTACCAGTCCGCCATGGTGAAGAGAGAGCTGAGTGTAAAAGCGACCGAAAGAACAAGATTGAGTATACAAGTGGCAGAAATGAGCTTCCTAGGAAGGGTGTCTGTGCTCTGACAGAGTAAGAAGTTAAGCCATCCAGGAGGGGCTCAGAGTAGAGCCGCGGGTCCTCCACATTGAAAGGAGCCAGTTAAGGTGGTTTGACTCAGCAGAAGATGGATGGATGGAATGAGGTTTAGACATCCATTGTGCCATCATGCCCCTTTCATTAAAAGACAGACTGCTATTCCCAAGTTCAGAGCCCCTAGAATATTAGTAGCCCTCAGTCACAACAGACTGATGCTGCTCCAAATTATCAGTTTGCGAGCCTATATGTGCAAAGGACAGGACCCTAACCCACCCTGTCTGTTGATGTTCGCCACCACAGAGACGGATGATAATATAAACTAGACTAAACTCAGCTAGGACAAACTAATAATACTAGTAGAACATTAAAAATCAAAATACAAAATAACTCAGCATGCTGGGTCACAGACCCAGCACCATGACACGTGTGCGAGAGTTAACCAGATCCAGTCACACAACAGCTTTTCTAAAAAATATATTTTAAAAAAGGTTTACAAAAAAATAACTAACAGACATATTTCTCTCTAGATTACAGCTGCATGAACAAATTGTTACTGAATACTGTTCATGATCCAAAAAGTGTCTCACCTGAACAGATGACACCAGCATCCTGATAATGTCCACAGTAGGGTATCACAAATCCTCTGTGCTGACAATCAGTTAGGGAACTTTCACTTCCTGAACAGGACACATCATCAAGCCAGATTTGTCCTGTTCCTCCACCAAAGTGAGCTGATCGAGTGGCATTCAGTGCTGGTCCACAGTCTAACTGTCTGCAGACCACCTCAGCATCATTTAGGTCCCAGCCACCACCACAGACTGTTCCCCATCTGTTGTTGTGATAGATTTCCACTCTTCCAGAGCAAAGAGTTGCCCCAGAATTATCAGGATCAATTAATCTTATCTGAGCATCTAAAAAAAGAAAGAACAGATTATGAGAACAGATGTGTTTTAGTTTTTAAATACTTAAAATCAAGAAGCAAAAGGTAAACGAGCTAAAACTTAGTTATTCTGATCCTCCAAACATACATTTCTGAGTAAATCCATTAACAATTCAAATAAGGAAATGCAGTGAGGCAACAGAAAAAAAACTGAATTCATAATTAGATTTTTTATTATTTACTTGTCCTCTTAAATTAGAGTTTTAAAAAAATCATCAACATGATATTATGGCAAAATGTGTAAAATGCTGGTCCGTTTCACGCTTTGCTTCACCAAAGCATGAAATGGACACTCATGCAGAAGTTGCAGTTGCACACGGAGATGTTTTATTTCAACCAGTGGCGGTACTAGCCTGTTTGGTGCCCTGGGCGAACACTCCCTCTGGTTTTAATTTTGAACTCCAGTATGAACACCCATCCCCCAACTCGAGGATCACCACAACATAAACTAACAGACCTACACCTTAGTTTGCAGATTCACTTTGTTTAGGGTTTATTTCTGGGATTTCACACAACCCAGGATTCAAATAATGAATACACTTACAAATGTGGATTGCTCGTTTGAGCTGCAGCTGCTTAAAATTGATAACAAGGATCCTTCCTACTGTGCTGTGGTGTATCGTCCACCTGGATATAACAGGTTATTTTTATCGGAACTCAGTGACTTCTTATCCGCTACTATGAGGCTATCTAGAGTGCTTATAGTTGGGGACTTTAACATTCACGTTGATGATGACTCCGACCTATTCGCCAGAGACTTTATGAACATTATGGATTCTTTTCATTT